CCCCGGCTCCCGCTGCTTTCCCTTTTCCTGCCTGCCCCTGCCCTCCATGCCAGGCCAGTGGCCAGGCCCTGACTGACCCCCGCTGTCTCTTCCAACAGCGCCTGAGGCCCCCGTCATTGACACCCAGCGCACCTTTGCCTATGATCAGATCTTCCTGTGCTGGCGCCTGCCCCCCCACTCACCACCTGCCTGGCACTATACTGTCGAGTTCCGGCGCACGGATGTGCCCGCCCAGCCGGGCCCCGCTCGCTGGCAGCGGCGGGAGGAGGTGAGGGGCACCAGTGCCCTGCTTGAGAACCCCGACACCGGCTCTGTGTATGTGCTGCGCGTCCGTGGCTGCAACAAGGCTGGCTACGGTGAATACAGTGAAGACGTGCACCTGCACACGCCCCCAGCACCTGGTGAGTGAGCAGGCACAGGTGGTTATGTAAAGGGTATGGGGTCTGCCAGGGCCCAGGCCCTGACGGTTGGTTCCAGGTGGCCACTAGAGAGGCCATGTAACATACTGGGTCACACACACTAGCTCTAGAGCTAGACTGCTTGGGTTCAAATCCCAGCTCTGCCTCTTACCAACCGTGTAGGTGGCTTTTGGCAAGTTTTTCACCCTCTCTGAACTTCAGAGTCCTTTTCCGTAGGGATAATGATAACATTAGCCAGGCACAGTGGCTCATACCTGTAATCCTAGCACTTTGGGAGGCCAAGGAGGGAAGGCTACTCGAGGCCAGGAGTTCAAGACCAACCTGGCCAACATAGCGAGACCCCATGCCTAAAAAATAAAGGTCAGGTACGTGGCTCATGTCTGTAATCCCAGCACTTTGGGAGGCTGAGGCAGGCAGATCACCTGAGGTCAGGAGTTCAAGACCAGCCTGACCAACATGGAGAAACCCCATATCTACGAAAAATACAAAATTAGCTGGGCGTGGTGGCGCATGCCTGTAATCCCAGCTACTCAGGAGGCTGAGGCAGGATAACTGCTTGAACCCAGGAGGTGGAGGTTGCAGTGAGCTGAGATCATGCCATTGCATTCCAGCCTGGGCAACAAGAGTGAAACTCCATCTTAAAAAATAAATAAAAAATAATTTTTAAAAATTGCTAATACTTACCTCATGGGGTGGTGAGAATTCAGCTGATGTGAGGCGCTCCATGGGAGTCTGAGTACAGTGTTCAGCTCATGGTTAGGTCTCATGAATGTTACTAACGTGACTCTAGAAAATAGTTTGGACTCCAGGGGGTGGGCATGAGAGGGGAGCCTTGCCACCCAAGTAGGGGCTGGGTATAAGGGCCAGGGGTGAACCCAGAGTGTGGGTTGGAAGACATAGGTTGATGGTGATGGCAGTGTGACCAGGTGGAACACAACAGCGGGGTCTGTCCCTGGGGCTGGCAACAAGTAAGGGATTAGAGGAAGCACCATGAGTCAGCCAGGTCCAGAGCCCTGGTTTTGTGCCCACTGTCATCATGAAAACACTCTCTGAGGTCCCATGCCCATTTGGAATGCCCCCTTCTTTTTTCCTCCTGACTTCCATTCCAGTTTCCCATGCTCTGTTCTCCTGAACCCCCTGCCTGTTCCTGGTGGCTGAGCCCCCCCACAACGTCTTCCCTGTTCCGAAATCTCACAGCCCCCAGTACCAGTGTTTGCCCCTGAAGTTATTCCTCTGTCTCAACCCACTCCCTCCTTCCAGTCCTGCACTTCTTCCTCGATGGCCGCTGGGGTGCAAGCCGAGAGCGGCTGGCCATCAGCAAGGACCAGAGAGCAGTACGGAGTGTTCCAGGGCTGCCCCTGCTGCTGGCTGCTGACCGGCTGCTGACTGGCTGCCACCTGAGCGTGGACGTGGTCCTGGGCGACGTGGCTGTGACTCAGGGCCGCAGCTACTGGGCCTGTGCCGTAGACCCAGCCTCCTACTTGGTCAAGGTGGGCGTCGGGCTCGAGAGCAAGCTTCAAGAAAGCTTCCAGGGTGCCCCCGATGTGATCAGCCCCAGGTCAGGCCCCTCTGGAAGGGATGGGGTGTGGGGGTCCTGGTGGGAGTGAGGGGCAGGGCAGGGGTGGCAAGCGGAGCACAGATTTGGTGGCGTGGGGCCAGGAGAGGATTACGAGGGAGAAGTAGGAGCATGGAAGCCAGACTGGGAGCCCTGTGGCCAGGAGAGGAATGGGCTCAGCAAAAGGGCTTTCGAGGACCGATTTTCAGAGCGTGGTGTATGGTCGGGGAAGGGGATGATAGAAGAGGGGCCATCTCTGCTTCCTTCCCACCATCTGTCACTCTGGACCAATGCACCATCTCTCCAAGCGTCTGTGTCCTTTCTCCCTGATACTCCATTCCCAACACTGTTTCTCCACTAAACCATTGCTCTCCAAGACCTCCTCCACCCACGTCTTAAAATTCTTCCCTTAAACACCCCACCTCCATATCCCTCCTCTCCCCAACTCCCTGTTTAACACCCTCCCACCAATGCTTTTCTTCCTGAGCCTTCTCCCCAGCACTCTATCCCCCAATACCTCATTTCTTCAAAGCACATTCTCTCCAACACAAATCCCCTCCTAAACCCCACTGTCCCCAACCCCACATCCCTTTGACACCCTTCATCTGTGACACCAATCCACCCTCATCTATCTCCTGACACCCACCTTCCCAGCTTCCTTTCTCTCCTTAGTCAGTGATCTGGGATTCTTCCCAACATCCTCTAGTCCTCAGAACCCTCTCTCCAGCGTGATTTCCCCAACACCATCTTTCTTGACGCCTTTCCACATGCTCTACCAATGACTGTCTTTCCTGTCCTCCCTGCCAATGTGCCAAAGTGCTCTTGCCAATGTGCTTTCCTTTCAATGCTCTTTCCTACCGAACCCAAGCCCCTGACCCTGTACTCTACCCTGCCTCTTCAGCGATTTCTTTGCAACACCCCAAATCCATCCCTCCAACCTTCTGCTCCTCAGCATTCCATCCTTCCAGCATCTCCCTTCGGCACCTCATCCGTCACTCCATCCCTCAAAAATCTCGTACCCAATGCCCACTTCTGCAGGTACGACCCGGACAGCGGGCACGACAGCGGTGCCGAGGATGCCACAGTGGAGGCGTCGCCGCCCTTCGCTTTCCTAACCATCGGCATGGGCAAGATCCTGCTGGGGTCGGGGGCGAGCTCAAACACTGGGCTGACGGGGAGGGACGGCCCCACAGCCGGCTGCACAGTGCCCCTGCCGCCCCGCCTGGGCATCTGCCTGGACTACGAGCGGGGCCGGGTTTCCTTCCTGGATGCCGTGTCCTTCCGTGGGCTCTTGGAGTGCCCCCTGGACTGCTCAGGGCCTGTGTGCCCTGCCTTTTGCTTCATCGGCGGTGGCGCAGTACAGCTACAGGAGCCAGTGGGTACTAAGCCTGAGAGGAAAGTCACCATTGGGGGCTTTGCCAAGCTGGACTGAGCCTTCCAGTCCCCTCATGCAGACCTGGGGTCCTCCTGGGCCCTGGCCCCCAAACCTCTTTGCCCAGGTTGTTCCCCCCAAACTCTTCCTACAATGCGGCCCTGCCCCTTCCCCTGTGTCTATGTCTTCCCAGGGTTTTCTCTTGACCCAGGGGCTCTCCTCTGCCCACCTCTCTGGATGGCTCCCATTCTCTCCATTGCCTGTTAGCCCCACCCCCACTGCGTCTGCCCCATGCCCTGCCTTTGGCATCTCACCCAAGCCATGGAGAGAGCCCCTTCTCCATCCCTGTCCTGTGCCCCCAGGCTGATTGGGAGGGAGGGCCCCTGAACACTGGGCATGATCTCCAGCTCTGCCCTTGCCCTGCCAAGCTCCCTGCCCTGTTGATGCTGAACTGCAGCCTTGGGACAGGCAGGCTTTTGGGCTGGATGCTGTCCAGGCACTCCTGGTGAGGGGAAGGGGACCCTGTCATCCTGCTTTATTTATTTGGGTCCCGACACCCCGCAGCCGCATGCCCCTTAAGTCTCTCTTCTCTCTCTTGCATGCTTACCTGTCCTGCACCCATGCCAACGTGCCAAGTCTCCCTTGGGGACCCAGCTGAGTCTGGGTGTTCCCATAGGGTTGGGCCAGGCAAGGCTTCTGGTGCCTGCTGCCATCCCCCTGCAGTGGGCTCTGCTAGGCCTGTGCCAAGCAACAGCTGTTATTTTCATGGTTTATAAACAATAAACTGTGATGCCAGGCACATCTCTGCCTCCCCTGAGCGTGACCATTCCTCTTAGCTTCTGTGCTGGGTGTGGTGGGCAGGAGCGGGCAGGGTGCTGGGCTGTGGTTCTGGGCCGGCGTACCGGATAGATTTGGCACCTGAGGGAGGAGGGCCTCCTGCCTCACACGGCCTGGCCCGGCCTGAGCCCACCACAACCGCCAGGGGACGTAGCTCTCCGGCTGCCGGTGGCAGGCCCCAGCCAGGGTGTCTAGGCCGGTGGCACCCAGGCCCTGGGGGAATGCCAGGGCCTGCGGTTGAGGGGACAGGCAACATGCCTGGGCCCGAACGGGTCAGGGGACCAGAACTACTTCCCCATTCCCAGGGTGTTGCGGAGCCCACCCCAGGGGCAGTGCGCTGGTGGGGCAGCCAGGGTCAGGTGGGGGCCGGGCCTGATGCCAGTGCCCGGATCTAACTGGCCCCCGCTTATCTCAGCCCTGTTGACTCTGGGCTGTTATCACTGCCCTAGGATTTACTTCACACCCAGGCAGCTGAGAATAGAGGCACCTGGGGGCACCGTGCCAAGAGGAGAGGAGAGTATGGGCCAGGCAACGCCAAGGGAGAGCTGTTGGCGCACAGAGCCCAGTCACGCTAGCCCTCCAAAACCCGCCTGGGTTTCGTTTCCTCCTTCCTCTTGTGCTGCCAGGGTCAGCCAGAGGTGGCTCCCCAGGCCACCCCTCCTCCCCAACGTCACCTCCTCCTCACATCTCCTGCTTCTCAAACAAACCTGCTCCTTCCTGCCTCCTGGCCTCCCTGTCTCCTCCCCCAGGCCCCTCACACACATTCTGACCGACCGCCCTGCTGCCCACAGGTCACAGATGAAAGATCAGAAGTTGGTACAGCGGAAGACCATGTTTTATTCAGTCCTGTCCAGGTTCCCTGCCATCTCCGGGGTCTCTGGGCCAGACCTCCTGGGAGCTCCCACCGCACCACTCCCCAGGCATAAGCCCTCAGGGGCAGGCACGGGCTTCCACAGGCCGAGAAAGGTCCAGGAACTTGGTGAGGCCTCTGAGGGAGGCTGTGAGCAGCACACCTGAACTCCCAGCTCACCAGCCCAGAACAGGGTTTGGGGGCTCTGGCCCTGAAGAGCCGGAGTGGGGCGGACTGGCACTGGCTGACCACTCAGCTCAGCAGGCGACGTGCCCCTATAGGTTGGCAGAAGTGGCTGCCACCGCTGGGTTTGTGTAAGAGAGGCTGCTGCCACCATTACCTGCAGAAACCTGGGTGGAAGGAAAAGAGATCCCAGGTGAGAAGCAGAAGGTACCTCCCAGAGCCCCTGCATGGCACCCCAAGCTGGGTAATCCGTCCAGGGTTCTGGCCAGCTCTCAAAGGGTTAAGTCGGAGAGAGCACCTGCCACCCCACCAGCCAGGTGACTGTAAACAGGGCTGTCCTCCTCCCTCCGCTCTCCTTCACTCCTCCTTGGCTCTAATCAGCCCCCTTGGCCTCCCTTGCAACCCCTTTGTCCCTCCATTCTCTGTTGTTCCAGCCCAGGGAGGGTGTGTGTGTGTGTGTGTGTGTGTGTGTGTGTGTGTGTGTGTATATCTCTGTCTTTGTGAAACTGAGAGAGGGAGGTCTCCAGGAGGAAAATAGGAGCAAGAAAAATAAACTCCTCTCTCCTCCCCCACCCAGAGTGGTTTTCCAGCCTCAGGTGGCTCCAGTAATTATTTACTAGGTTCCATACAGAAAGGCCAGGGGAGGAAGGAGGGAGGGTTCGTTGCTTCCTTGAAGCTCCCAAGAACACTACTGGCACCCAGGCTCACCTGGTCTGCTGACACTCCTTCCTCTACCTAGGAAACCTCCCCTTACACCAGCCTTTCTTGGTCTACCCTCCATTCCCAGGAGATGATTAGGGGCACAGGGGCTCACCCCTATGACTTCAGGAAGGGCTCCCCTGCGCATCGTGCTCCACCCATTTTGCCTCTGGGTGCAAAAAAAAAAAAAAAAAGAAAAAAAAAAAAAAAAAAAAACTGCCGCGGTGACACCAGTTCAGCCAGCGCCAGCCAGCATGAATGCTGATGGCCAATGCTCTTTTAGGAATTCTGGCAGTGGGGCCACCCCCTCTTGAGGGCCCCTTTCTTCCGTGGTCTCCTCCCAGGCCTGTCCTCCAGGACTCTTCAGACCTCCGCCCCCCATCCTTGCCAGGCCCTCCTCTGCTCACTTCATGCCACTTCTCACCTCTTCCAAGCTCTCTGGGTTTTCCAAGTACCCCCTTCAGAACCCTCACCAGCCAAAGCCTCTGCCTCCCCCAGCCTGTGGGGCCCAACCTCACCTCCTCATAGGGGCTACGATTGGTACTTCCAGGGGGCACATAGCGCCCATGGGTGTGGTAGGTGGGGTACTCGCTCATAGGATGGTAGGCATCGCGGGCTGGAAAGATATCCAGCTGCCCGTAGTTCTTTCGGCGGCACTGCCAGACAGCCTGGGGATACAGGAGATTATGGTGGGCCACGGAGTGCCTTCAAGCAGCGGGGCTCTGATCAGGGCCAGGGACTGCACTCACCAAGGCAACAAGATAGATCACGGCCAGCGCAACCAGAACACAGACCAGCACCAGCAGCGCAATGCCCCAGCCTGGTACCCCAGCCCCGGACGGGGAAGAGACGGGAAATGGCACATCACGCACTAAAAGGAAAAGCAACGGTCAGGGCAGTCTCCCAAAGGAGGTGCCCCTCCTGCTGCCAGGACTAAGGAAAGGGCAGGGACCCAGACACTGGAGGGAGAGGGGCCACGGCATGGTGCCACGCTACAGGCAGGGAAGCAGCCTCACCGCTGGCTGCTGAGACATTCAGGTCGTATCTAGAGACTGCTTCTTCTTTACGGTCATCAAACTGTGTCTCCACATCTTGGACACTGGTGGTACCTTCTCGGAAGGCCAGAGTCGATTCTACCACCACAGATCCTGGCCTGGTCACAGGGAAATGGGCACTTCAGCCACGGGTCGCAGCTCTGGCTCGGTGCTCTCCCCCAACCCTGATGTGCCAGTCCCTCCCTACAGTCATGACAGCCACCCACCCTCCAACCACCGAGTCCACACCCAGAACTGTACCTGAACTTGATATTGAAGAGGCCCAGAAAATCCTCTTGTTTATAAATCTGCAAAAACTGGGATGAGAGGGAAAGGACTCAGGCTTGATGCAAAGGGTGTGGCCAGTTCTGAAGGCTGCTTCAGGGGAGCATGGGGAAGGAAAGACGGATACTCACCAATTCAGAAATGTTTCTCCGCAGCTCTTGGTAATAGTTGGTATTGGGATCTCCCAAAGAGGAGTTAAACTGGAGGTTGAAAATGCGAAAAGACAGGAAAAAGAAAGAGACCCCAATAGACAACTGGGGAGAAGTGCTGTGATTGGAGGAGGTGAGAGGAGGTACTATGCTATGGTGAGTGCTACTGGCAACAGTCTTGGTGCTATGGCTGGCAAGGGTGGCAGGAGTATCAGAATGGTGGCTGGGAGTTGAGAATGGCGTACTCTTGCTGCCTGGGATTGTGGTAGTCTCGGCGGCAGAGGTGCCATTGTGGACCAAAGTGGAAGCTGAGCCTGATGTCGAGCCTGAGGCCGAGGTGCCATGGTGGGCTGGAGTGGTGGTGGAGCCGTGGGCTGGAGCGGTGGTGGAGCCGGAGGCTGGCCCGGTGTCCGTGGCCGAGGT